TACAAATGAACGCTGGCTGTGTTTAGCTGCTCCACTCTTGAATATTTTTTATTCTCCTCAAATCAAGTTTTGCTCTTAATGTACATGTTTTTAATGGATGTAAATAGGATTTATGAATCCTGAAGTAAACATTAAATTCAAGTTTTGATTGTATAATCTAGGTAGCATCAGAATGCAAGAAGCAAACTCAGCAGTTTGATGATATCTTTGCCTGAATCTCTGCTCCTTGATTGGCCTGACTTAATGCTGCAACAGTCTGAACCGTAAATTCAACAGTACACGACATGACTTCTAGTAAAAAGATCATTCTTAGTATTCTGAAAGGGGCCAGTGTGTTTGACAAGCTCATAGTGATTTACTGCAGCTCTACCAAGTGTTTTAGAGTCTCTGAGCTCATTGGTTTTATGCTCATAGCTGAGCTGCTGTAGTTAAATCAGGCTTATTATTTCCAGCTCAACAGTCTGCTGTATTAAAAAAAGGCAAAAACTGAGTTGGCAGAAAAGTTGCTTGGGGTAGCAAAGCACCAAACGTTTACTTACAATAGGAATCGAATAGAACACCGAGATACCTTATTGTTTCCTTTTTGAATGCAAAGGCAGACATTTGTCTTTGACGTGTGTGTGCAAATATATAAAACATATGGTTACACTTTAAAATAATGAGGCACATTTAAAACTATAAAACACTCTGAAACACAACAAACAAATGATGTAAACATTGTGTATATTTACAGTAAAGGAGGGCATCAAGTTCCTAATGATAAATATTGAAGGGGTGTTAAATAATAATAAGTGCTACAGTATGTGCAGCATGCCTTTTGTTAGAAATCACTGCATACATTGTTTTTAATTGGGATGAAAGCTGTGCTAAGGCTATCATTATCAACATCCACATGGATGTTGAAGTCACCTACAACAATTATTCTATCACTGCTAAGGACTAAATCTGATAAAAATTCTGCAAATTTAGATAGAAACTCAGAATATGGGCCAGGAGGGCAGTAAAAGTACAACAACTAGAACTGGCTGAAAGGTTCTTGAGTTGAATTGCATGCTATTTGGTCTCTTTAGGCACACCATGCATAAGCCTTTAGTGTCTCCCTGTTGTCACGGTGATGGAAAAGAACGACATCCTGGATGTAACAAACCGAAATAAACAGCTCCATAGTTCTACTCTCAACGAAAAGTATCCTGGCACTTTTGCATTCAGAATTTAAATCACAAATATATATATATATATATATATATATATATATATATATATAGTATATTTTAAAAGTACACTTAGGCTATAATAAAATAAGAACTTTATAAAAGAGTGACACTGACTCCCCCAGTATAAATCTCTATAGGTAGCTTATTAACAAAGTCCAGGGGCCCAGACATGGAGAGCTTTTCATACTGATGTACTACAGCACTGTGATTCACAGCTCCAATAGTTCCCATCATGTTGGAGCCCCACAGCTCAGATCAATAGTCATCAAAGCCCATCCTGATGCTGCTCTGCCATCTATAACCTACACTGAGCGGCTGGATGCTCTCGCCTTGACCAACTGTTACTGTATCCTCCACCATGTTGCCAATGTACCAGTACAGCATGCCAACACACACAAGATGGATGTGTGGAGTGACAGACAACGAGAAGGATGATTCATTTGAAGTCTTAGACATTCTAACATGCTGTGTTACATTTCAGTGTATAAAAATGAACGACTAGTCTCGTCGTGAAAAAGTAAAGCTAAAACATTCCTGCCATCAAGCCTGGTGACGTCATCAGCAGCCACAGTGTTTGCATTAGAGACTGGAATGATTTCACACTCCTCTGCTCCCCAAAACACATTTAACTTCCTAATGCAAAATGATCCCTCAGGTAGATGTGTTGGTTTGAAGCACACACTCAGTGTCTAAGAAATGACTCTTATGTCTGTATTTTTAAAGTTTCCTCTCGCCGTTCATTACAGAGCCCTGCAGGAGCTACGTATGTATAAACAGCTGTCAGTCAAATGTCACACCCCTTTTAGCATCAAATAACTAATTATAACTAAGACTTGTATGTCAGCATGATGATATGCTAACCATAAGGACTGAAAACCTTTGAGAAACATGTATTTGACATGTATTTTGATCTTATAGTTTGACCATTGTCCGATCTGTTAACATATGGGGGGCAGGCTTCACGACCTATACTGCAGCCTGTCAGTAGGGGGCGTTTGATATGTTTTGGCTTCAATATATGAAAGCTGCAATGTCATCAATCTTTGGTCTGGAATGAGACTTTTTTGGGGGGAAATTCAAGACAATACAGTAAATAAACGAAGGAAGTGATCTGTCCTGTCACCTTTAAACCCACCAAACCAAACTGTAACCGTCCCGTGTGCTCCAGAGGCCAAAACCACTGAACGCATGAGTCTATTGGCTGGATTTATACCCTGGCATTGCTGCATTGCGGTGTGACTTTGTACTGTAATTCTAGCTGTGTGTCATGTAGAGTGATGGCAGTGAAGAGACTTAAGGAGTCTACTCACACCCACCTCGTTAGGGAACTATTCAGACCTGCCGTTCATCAAACATACGCACATGCCATCTGCTTCAGGTGCAGGTGTGTGTGTGTGGAGATATGTGTCTATGTCTGTGACTGTGAGAGTCAAACACCATTTATTGCCAATTAGGGATGCTTTATATCGCCCAAACTTGTCCCCCGACTATGGACAGGGGGAAGCATTAAAAGAGTTGAAATTGGACAAAATTCATCTTTATCGCTATAGCAACTCTATTCACCGCAGCCAGGCTTGACAACCTCTTGACTGGCCACAGAAACAAGAGCAGAAATATGCCCGGCTCAACCTGCCACATTAAAGAGGTTAAGTAATGGTTACTGTAAAAGAGAAAATCTTATCTTATTAAATTCTCTTGTTAAATCTAATTTAAATTCCTTTTGCAGTCCTGCAGAGAAATATAACATTTCAAATAGACGTCCTCCTTTTGACAGGGAGATTTTGATATTGCTAATTATCTCCCGCTTCCCTTCATTTGCCTTCATGCGGCCCTCACAGGTGAGCCAGATGAATAAGTTAATGTGCAGAAGGAGAGGAGAAGACAAAAAAAAAAGAAGATAAATTGGTATGCATGGTTTCAGTTCACCGAGGGAGAAGGTCACTTCAACAATCTGATAGGCCCCTTTTTAGACGATAGCAGGTCGAGAGAGAGGGAGCGGGCGAGTGACAGGAAGGTGAGAGGAGAGAGAGGGTTGACACAGAGAGGTAATGTGGTAATGTGTCAGGAAGTCTGGATCCGCCACCTCACCCCGTCCTGAGTGTGACAGCTCCTGAAGGTGTGATAAGCTTAAAATTCACACGCACACACCAGCACACGCTAACATCTATCCCAGGGCATCCTCCCGGCCGTGTAGCGTCGGTGGGGGAGTTAATCACCCGTGTCCATGGCCTTTAGCTGCTCTCATTAGCGGTGAGCGGTGGAGCCATACCCGATCCATTAGCAACGCTGCCGGTAATGACACTTCACCAGTACCGTCAGGGCCCACGGCCAAGAAGAGGCTCCACAGACTGCCACAGCCCCTCCATTACCAACTCCTGCTGCATACTGCTGCCACGCTTTTTAACATGTGGACTTAAAAAAAAAAAACAGACAGAGAAGGAGTGTGCTTCTCTGTTTTTCTTTCCTTGGTCCGGAAAAGCGTCAGGAACACGAGGAGAGGCGGAGAGGCAGTCTGGTGACTTTTATCTGGGATCACATCCGCTGGTGCTCTACTGCAGCATTCACAGCCTCTCTGTCTCTCACAGACGCACGCACACGATGCACATGTGTGTGCCACCTGACACACACACACACACACACACACACGTCTACATGCACAGTGGGACAGACAAATAATGATGAAACATCTTTTAAGCACAGACATGTGATAATTGAAAAGGAAGCATGCACACACAGGCAGAGCAGGCTTCTACTTAAGACATGTGTGTTCCTGAAAAACACACACACACACACACACACACACACACACACACACACACACACACACACACACACACACACACACACACACACACAGCAGGTCAAGTGTCATGTTCTCATTCATATTGTATGTAAAGCCCCGTGGCTGTCATGTAAGTGAGCTTGTGTCACGTCTGTGAAATGGCCATCATGGAGTGAGCGGGCGCCCAGTTACCAGTAGACCAGGTATGACTAAAGGAATAGAGGCCACAGGCGACAGACCTCCTCCTCCTCTTCTCTCCTCTTTTATTCCTCTTTCCTTTTCTTCTGTATTTTTTTTCTGCCCCCTCCCAGCCTTCGTCTGGTTTGTTGCCTAGCTGGCTGTGAAGTTTTGGTGTAACAGCAGGACATCTCTTCATCATCCTCCTCCTCCTCTGTCTGCCTCACACACACTCTGTCCAGAGAGATACACATATATTATTTTAGCACCCTCTAAAGGAGGCAGAGGACACTGCAATTCCTCTTACCAATTATTTGAGGGATAACCCTAACCCCCCCTTGCCTTGTTTGGATGAGGATTTTGAGCATTATTTCACAAATGTGACTGTCCCATATAATCAGACTTGGGAAAAGCACACACGTTGTTTCTTTAAAGGGTTGGGCCATCTGCTTTACTAAATGGTTCAATTGTGCCAAAGACCTCAAAGCTGAGGCCTCAGGTTTGAACCGCTTACCTCTCATCCCTGTTTCCCACTCTGTCAGCTGTCCTGTACTCTCAGTAAAGGCATTAAAAAATCCCCCCAAAAATCTATGAGACAGAAAAAAAGACTGGTCAACCTAGAGATACTGATTCAACTTTTAAAACTTTGGTAAAAGTAAAAAAAAGAAAAAGGCTCCAACTTGCTCAGAAGCAAAACAAGAATAATCAACACTTCAATTAAATGCTTTAAATGGAAACTGAAACCTGATAAGAGGCATGTTCTATCTGTTTATTTTGTTTATTTTATGTATATTGATGTGTGTGTTTTTTTTGTGTCTTTGTTTCAGTACATGACTGCTGCAGCTGCCGCGGCGCCTATGCAAGGGACCTACATTCCCCAGTACACTCCTGTGCCTCCAACAGCCGTCCCTGTCGAAGTAAGAGCCACGTTCACACACACACACACACACACACACACACACACACACACACACACACACACACACACATTTCTGATCAATCAGATAAACCTAACCCCCAGCGGAGGACATCATTACCTCTGACAGCCCGCTCTTTTACAACCACACAAACTGCGCTCAGTCTTTTATTAAAGCTGCTCACCTCATCAACAGATCAGTCATTAAACAGACACATCACATCCCAAACATGTTGTCAATTGCTCTTATTCTCTCGGAACAAATGGCAGCAGCAGCAAATAACGAGGGTGAAAAACTGCAAGCGCAGCAAGATGAGTCAGAAGTTTTATTGTGTTTTGGGAAAGAAGTGCAGCACAGACTTTGTCACTTGTTCGGAGGCTGTCTGAGCTTGTGGCAGGTTTTCAGCAGTCCGGCTTGAGAAGAGATGATGAACGTGGAAAAAAAAGGAGGCGGGGCCGGCGAGCAGAGCGGGTACGGCTGTCTGGTGGCTGACAGTGCGCTCATATTCAGACGGACTATCAGTCGTGTATCAGGTGACAGGAGCTGAAGTGAGACACAGTGCCACCGGTGCTGTCTTTCTCTCTCTCTCTCTCTCTCTCTCTCTCTCTCTCTGTCTCTCTCACTCTCTCTCTCTCTCTCTCTCTCTCACACTCTCTCTCTGTCCCTCTCTCTCTCTCTCTCTCTCTCTCTTCCTGTGCTGGTACGTAGCTGGATCACACACACACACACACGCACGCACGCACGCACGCACACACACACACACACACACACACACACACACACACACACACACACACACACACACACACACACACACATCTGTCAGCCACACACATCTGGTTAGCTAACCAGCCACAGACAATGACAGTTCCCTCTGACAGAACCATTAGTCGCCCCTCCCCCTCTCTTGGACCCCCCTCCTCACAAACTTCTTCATGAAGGAGTGGCACAGAGGAGAGAGAGCCCGCAGCGTCTCTTACCTATTTCATTCCCCCCCCCCCGCCAGCGTCAGCAGCGGGGTGTACATCACTGTTTGAGCCTGTGTCTGCAGGGCTGATGTATGGAGGGGACGCAGTCTCCTTGAGAGCTTGTTAAAGGTGATGGAGAAGACTCTACAAGGGGGGACCATCAGTAATGTTGCACTCGGAGAGGCGAAGAGTTCGCTCTGATGAATTAAGTGCTCAAGTCCAACTTTAAAGTTGTTTTTCATCTCAAACTTTGGGCGGAAAATTTTGCAAGCAATTTAGTACACAAGACGTATTTGGAAAGTCTCATCTCAGTCAGATGATGTGACTTCAGTTTTCATTATTCTGTTCTTCTTTTCAAAAGTTTCCAGCCAATATTCCCCTTACTTTTGTCTCTATTAAATATATATTATTTATTTTGACTAAAAGTGTTATACTGAAGCTTTCTCCCCCTGATTGATCCTTAAGAAGCAGCAGCACCTTGACTGTGTACTTCACTTGTCTCCTCTATTTGAAATGCATTTATGACAAAGTATGTTGGCATTAAGGGATGTAAATGTTTTCTGTTTAAGTCATTTTGGATGTTAGAAACGCTTGTTTGCACCGCATTAGTTCAGATTGATAGACCTGTCAGTGTGAGAAGTTCACAACATTTAATTCAGCGTACATTCATGTCATGTTTAACTGTTTTATTTTACGTTATTTTGAGGTTGTTTTTTTTAAGTGTGTACAGCGTGTGACACCATCTATAGTTAGACCGTTGCTCCTGCTTAGAAAACAGTTCCAGTAACAAAAGGACAACTCACTCTCCAAGGACAGGAAGACATGTGAAGAAGACAGAGGCGAATTGTCAAATACTCGTCAGCAGGAAGCGTTGTCAGAGAGGAGCTTGTTTGAGTTCAAATCTGACAGATATCCTCTAATGTGTGTGTCTCTGCAGGGAGTGGTGACGGACGCCTCCCCACAGAGCGTGGCTCCCTCGTCACAGGAGGTGGGCGGCCAGCAGCAACAGATCCAGGTGGACAGCTCTGCCGACCATGTTCCTGCTTACTCATACACGTCCAAGTAAGTCACACAGGACGAGGACAGTCAAACGTTTATCTCCTTTACAGTATTATTTTAACATTATTGTAATCGTTAAGAAAAGGTTAGGAGCATATTATGTTATATATTGTTCCACAAGTGCAGATCATGCCACACTGTGTATACAAATGTATTATCTTTTTCTTGTCTCTAGTTCATGGCTACACCTATTGAACATTGGTTGAAACTTAGAATTTTAAAGTTTGAAATACAAAGACATGTTAAGTTACTGCTCTCTCTCTCTCAGCAGCATCTGTTCAGGTCATTAGGAGGTGTTAATATTAAATTAATCTATCAAAATCAGTTTTTCACCCTCTAAATAAATCCAACATGAGAAGTGAAGCATCTTCCAAAAGTACATTTTGTCAGTCTTTTGTATTTTGTAGCAACAACGGCAGTCAATTTTGCAAGTGATTTTTCTTTGACAAATAGTTTAGTTGAGGCAGTACCGTAACAAAAACAGGATAATCACGAGATGAAATTAGGGTGTAAAGAGACACAGCAGTGCCTTTTATAGAATGACTCTAATTATTCCTGGCTGCTGTTGTCATTTGCTCGTCAAAGTGGCAGCACATTTGCTTCTCTGACCCGATCAGAGCTGTTTTAAAGTGCTTCAATTTTGCTTCAGTCTTCTGACAGGGCTGTCAGCTGTCAGCTCTATTGCTTTTTCTGTGTTTGTAATATTGTGCTTTGATTACAACGGCCCCCCCCCCCCCTCTCCCCCTTTGCTTTTTCCCGTTTCATCAGATAGCAACGGCCTGAGCGAATGTTCCTGTGACAGCGTTGCCTTGAGACAGAAGGTGGCTGCACTGTGAATGTGAGGAAAAGAGAGAAGAAAGAGATTGCTTCCAGATTGCCCAGGCACCAAAAAAGAGACACTTTTTTTCATTTCCTACCTGGCTTGTGAGAAAAAAAAAAAAAAAACGCAAGAAGGAGGTAAAAAAGGTGCTGAAGAAGGGAATGGAGAAAATTGCTGGGCACAGTGCAAAGAAGTGAAATTGTTTAGTCTGCCCTGAAGGGCTGGGCTACAGCTTGAAAAGTTTCTCAAAGGAAAATCTCGACTAATTAAAAAAAAAAGATGAAAAAAGAAGTAAAACTGACAAAAAAAAGGTTGAATGCAAAGGTAGGTGATGAAGTTTATTTTGTAATTAGAAAAGGGGAGTCAAGTTTGAGATACACACAGAGATTGTCTTCCTCAGATATTAAGCTACAATTTCTTTTCACTCTTTTTTATGTTCTAGTGTTAAATTTTAGTTTTCTAGATATATTCAAAAATAGAGTGTTTTTTTTTCTTTTCTTGAATCTTCATGGCCTTAATTTGAAGGGCGCCGGAAACTTTTTACAGAGTTTAAGTCTGACATCTGGTTAGGGAAAAAAAAAAAAATCTAAATCAGTCTCTTGGACCCCCTGGAGGGTTCAAGACACTAGATGAGTTGTTCTAAAGAGGAGAAAAAGAATCTATCACATAAGCTGTACAGATTTAATAGAGAAGAGCTTTTTGTTGTTTCTTCATTAGAAGAAAAATTTGATAATTATTATGTCAGAGGTAACTAAGTGTCAGAAGAAAACAAAATGTCTGTTTGGGGAAAAAAAGACTCATGGAGGGGTTCAGGGTGGGGTTGGGTGTGTGTGTGGGGGGGGGGGGGTAAAGCTTTGAAGAGATTTTTCACAGTGATGAGAAAACATGAAAACATAAGAGAACATGCTGCATTGTGGATGCAGTCTGTTGCAAATGCTGAACTTGTTTTTTATTATCATAATTATGATTTTTCATGGCAAAAAGTTGCTGTCGATGACATTAGTGCTTTTTATCTGCCACATTTTACCTTTTTTATGAGCTTTAAGATGTTTTTAGCCCGCTTTGCTTGTCACACTGCAAAAAAAAAGAAGAAAAAAAATGAGAAAAACAAACCAAAAAAATGAATGGAAAAAAATTCTGGCAGTGAAATAAAAACAGTAGATTCAGTAGGAGCTTACGGTTTAAACCAATCAGTGCAAAAGCAATAGAAGAAATTGTTGACAATTTCTGTAGTCTTTCCTAGTTGTGGATCAAATGCAGCCCATGGATGGCCATTTTTATACCAAAGATGAAGAGACACTCTGAACCAGAGTTTTTGTTTGTTTGTTTTCTTTTGTTTTTCCTTTTCATTTTTCAGTTTGATTTTGTTGTTGTTGATGTTGTTGTTGTTGATGATGTTAATGTTGATATTGTTGTTGTTGATGTTGCTGTTGTCGTTGTTTTTTATTTGACCTTGATGGCCGGACCAGTCCTTACTATCCTTCTTGACATCTTTCTTTGACATCACCGGGTTTAAGCTAGTTTTCCACGGTTGTCCAAGCTGTTACACACACACACACACACACACACACACACACACACACACACACACTCATAAACACACACAACAAACAGTATTTAAAGTGTGATGCAACCAGTGGCAGTCCTACCAAAAGCTCTTCTTCAGCCTCCTTATGTTGAATTTTGCTTTTTTTTTTTTAAATGTCTCATCAATTTTATGATTCTCTCCGGGGGTGCATTCCACCTCTCTCTCCGATGCTGCAGGGAAAACTATAGGAATCAATTTGGGAATGCTGCTCGCTACGCTTCGTGGTTGTTCACACATTGCTTCCAGCTGTGCCCTCTTTCTCGATTTGTTGTCCTCAAACTCTTTATCTCTTCAATCCACTAAAACTAACACAGACATTTCAGCTCAGCATGCTGAGCTGGTCTGTAACATCATGTTAATCGTTGTCATGTAAATAGCACCAAACCTAGGTCACTTCTTTCCTTCCAGAATACCAGATGAGGGGTGTTTGCTGCAGGTAAGGAGTAAGTTGCATGTTTGATTTTTAATGTCTCTACAAATGATTGCATAAATGTTCTGGCACTTGATGGCACTGTCTTCCCACCTGCTGCTGCTAAGCTTAGCTTAGCACAAAGACTGGACACCAGGGACAACTAGCTGTGCTCGCCTCTCAAGTAATGACATCAGCTTGCCAGCACATCAAAGTTTAACCTATACAAAAAAGGGCTGTACTATTTCTTATCCAGGCCAAAGACATTAACAAGTCAAAGTGGCCTCCGTGATGTCACACATCGGTGTGTGAAGCCCCCCCCTCAGGCTTCAAGTTGGGCATTTTGTCCATCACCATCTTGAGTTTTTGGAACCAGGAGTGATCATATTCTGACGACAAAGTAGAAAGGCATTGTTACGTCTCCTGTTCCTGGTTGACAGGTGGCTGTTAGGGGGACTTCTCAATCACAGGAAGCCATGCATACCCTTCTTTATTCCCTGAAAACGAACATCATGCTGTATTAAAGAGGACTTGAAAGAGAAATTGAGATCATAAACTCTTCAGGAAAATGTTAACTGTGGCTGTAAATCATGTGGGAGAAAGGTCATTATTCCATCTGGTTTCATACGATTGGGCTTCTTTTACAACTCTTCGATGGAGTCACCAGCTGCTGGCTAGAAGAAAACATCTACTTCTTATATGGAGAGTACGAGCCAGGCACAGTTGTTGACTGGTGTCTTGTCATTACTATGAGGTTTGAAGGCAACTAGCAGAGGCTCTGGGAAATTACTGTAAAAACAGTGGACCCCTTAAATAACTGAGATGTATTTTACTTTGCTCTGTCTGTCTGTTAGCAGACTAAGTCTGTTACTTTGTGACACTAAGACATGGTAGAAGAGTGTTTAAAGGCTGCTTTAGGACTGCGTGTCGTGAACATCCCCCTGATAATTTGCCAGACACCAACCAGGGGGGGTCATCACACCTGTGAGAACTAACTAGACTCCTGAGCAGCCACAACAAGACGTTGATGGCGGCTCCTTCCCTGACCCAGCTGCTGAGTGTCACTTACACCCCCGGATGTCCCAATTTGTTGCACAAACAGCCCCGTCTCCTCTTATCCCGTCTTTCCATCCCCAGGCTGCGGAGGCTTTCAATGATTTCATCCCTGAGGATTGTCCCCAAAGAAATTGCCTTTGGGACAGCAGCCACTACCGCCCCCAGCCCCCCCCCCCCCCCCATTACAGCAGCCTTTTTGTCTGCTTTGCTCGCCCCTGTCGGTCGCTGTAGCCTCGCCCCTGTCGGTCGCTGTAGCTCCACTGTGACGCTTAAGAGCTAAAAAAGACCCTCTTTTTTTTTATTCTCCCGCTTCATGGCATTTATGTGCCATGGCCGAGTCTGGCTCCTTTCTGCTCTCATTTTCCCTCCTTCTCTCCTCTTTCCCCTCTCTTTCTCTAAGGTTTCTTCTCTTTATTGGGTGGTGCAGCAGCAGAACCACAAACCAATTTTCAGTCACTCTCCCAATGAGGCTTGACGGGCCCAATTTGTCTCCCTCCGGGGCAATAGGATCCACTCCAGTGTCCCTCAAAAGACCCCTTTCTTCCAGACAGAGGGGGAGCTTTTTGTTTGATGACAATTGCAATTGAGCTCTTGCAATTCATGTGACTCATTCAGAAGGGAAGTCCGGCGCTGCGCTCGGGGACCTGACAGGCGAGCTATGTCATCATGTGTTATTTGTTACCTAACAATCATAATGTACATCGAGTGCCTTTAAGAGAAGCTTCCAAATGATCAAAGTGAAACAAAGCACACAGAACAGCTTATTTGATTGTGCTGTGCTGAAGAAATGCTATGCTAATGCTAACAGCACCGCAGCCTCTCCATGGTGCTAAAGAGGAAGCAGACCTGGGCTCGTGCCTTCGTGATGCTGGCTGGTCATTGTTGATATTTTGGCCGTAAACTCGCCCTCATCAGGCCTCCTGTCCACTTGACAACAACACAAAAAAAAAAGGAAAACAGGCACGCAGGTTCCTGAAGTGAACCAGCCAGAAAAGCCATACACATATTTCATTATCCTCGATCAAGATGGAAACACCTGCTGAAGATTCTTCTCCACAGAGGTCAAAAAACCACGTGTCAAACTGTCTCTCAGTAACCGTCCAGCTGTTTATCGTCCAATCAAATCAACACCTGCCCCTTTCATCTCATCTGCCACTCAACATCTGCTTTCATTTTCCTCGAGGCTGTGATACCCGTCTTATCTCCCAAAGAAGGATTCTGTAACACATCACAGTCTCAAACCACTGACACATGTTCCCTGCTCTCATCTGTTTGAACTCACTGTGTTCCATTTGTGACACATTTTAAGTGTCCTAATTAACAACAGAGCTGCTGAACTTTAACTTTACCAGGTCTAAGCTAGTGTGTGTGTATTCAATTATTTTAAGTTATGACTCAACATTGCTATCAGCGGGTTCTCTAGACTTTACAGCTGCTATTTTATAGAGTACAGAAGACAGTTTTGAAGCTTAATAGGACTCATAATGCAGGAGTTGCACAACAGAGAGCTAAGTGTCATGAGATTCAGTACTGATGGCATTATGGGAAATAGGATTACAAATAGCCAAGAGATTATAGAAATAAATGCACAACATAAAGTTTTCCTGCTGTTAGAGATTCAAGAAGATAAAAGTTTCTAAGGCAGGTATTTGTTTTTGGTACGCAGCACCAGTATGTCATACATCTGAAAGATTAGCAGTCTGAACAAACAGAAAATGTCTTTTTCTTAATAGCACAATGGCTTAATGGACCTTTTCAGAATACCAATACATTTGTGAAAGTGTACAGAGGGCATGCCTGCAATGTTAAGGAGGCTGCAGCAACTTCCAGTCATCTCATGTGTCAGCACAAAGCAGCTTTACCAAGAGAGAGGAAGAGCATGTGTGCAAGGAAGAAAGAGGGGGGGGGGATCATTAGCTAGTGTTGCCGGGCAGAAGATGTCATAGCCTGGAGTTTCTCTGTCCCCTGTACAGGAGTGGAGGAGGTCACCTGCTTGACCTGTCACTAATTAGAAACACACACTCTTCTTTTCCTGCACCATCACATGATGGGCTCTTTTCTCTCCTCTCCTGTTCACTCTCCACCTCCTTCAGTCCTCAGTTCTGTAGCCAACATACCATTACTCCTCTTTCCATCCCTTCCATCTGTATCATATGCAGACCCTATCATCTTAAAGTCCACTTTGGCATCCCAACCACCTTTAGGAAAAGTCAGATATGAACTACTGTCTCATACAGCACATTTCAAGCCGCTTCTTGCAGAATCATCTTTGATCAGCAGCCACCTTCATCACAAACAGACGTTGCTTCATGTCAGACTTTAGAGGAAAACCTCTCTCCACGTGTTCTCTATCCTTGCCGGTCTTCCCCGTACTGTACATCCTCAGTCTTAAGGTTGTTGTGTTGTACTGCTCATTAAAAGTAGGGGTTGTACTGTGTGCCTCGATGATGCCAAAATGTTTATGCAATCATGCACAAGGTGATGAAACTGTATTAGGTACATTTAATATAATTATGTTTAAGGTTACTGCTGCAGATCCCACTCATCTGGTGTCCAGAGGAAGATTGTTTGACTGTTTGAAGTACATTTGGACTTTATGTGGGGAAATACCCCTCTTCGATTAACACATATTCTGTCTTTCTTTGAGTTTCAGTTCTAGGAGAAAGCCGACACCAACAGATCATGAGAGTTTACAAAGATCTTAGTTCTGTCTAAAGTCAGTTTTTAAGACAAGGTGCTTATTTCACTG